TGAAAATTTTCCACTTGTTCACAAACCATTTTTCTGCCTTAGCCAAATTCTGACAGTTTTCCTGTTTTGACATACACTTTTGAGAAGCTTGGTAAATGAACTTCCTAACTTATCCTAGAGCTTCCAAGCATACCAATGTGTAGATAAACACTTCATCTCAATACAACCATTAACCTTGAATTTTCATTGAGCCAATTGTGCAAACCAAGCCTCCAAAGTGGGCATCTCGAAATTGTTCCAACACACAACCAAATTCTGCCTATTTTCTTTCCAACCTTGATAGCTTCTTTGGCAAGCAATAAAAACGTGTAGAGTTGTCCATTTGGGATCATATCAGTTTGGAAACTCATCAAGTCACCCTCATATCACGGGTGAATGAGTTGGTGCTTATTGTTAGAACGAGTGGAAAAATATGCAAGCCTGGGCCCAGAATTTTGATGTCTACTTCAGAATTGAGAATGCATGCCGCCAGGTTTGGGAAGCACATGTGTTCGCACACCCGCGGCCTGCCCTACCGACCTATGCCAACCACTTCATCCTCCTAGGATTTTTCCATGGCCGATATCTCAGACTTTTTTACCCATGACTCCCTCAATCATACGGGTGACGCATAGGTCACTCGCCGTTGTGCCTAGCTCGAAGGCACAAAAGAGAGAGCGCTTCATGGGAGGCAACAAATGTCTGGCATCTAACTTGAAGACATTAAACCCAAGTATTCACGGGAGATAAACCAGTTTTCTTTTCATTTTTCTTTTGTTTTGCAACCAAACATCAAAGGAACTAGCCGATCGGCTTGAATTTCGCAGATTTATGGTAACTTCGTTCTATCTTTTTCCCTACCTCCTTGTGCACTCCAATGAGGACACTGTCCCATTTAAAGTGTGTGGTGATATTTAGGTGGATTGGTATTCATCAGTATACCATATTCTGATTGTTCATGCATATGGGAAAGGATGCTTCTTACCCAAAACACATAAAAATGCACAAACCTATTTTGATGGAAAAATTGCTACGAATCACTATCTGGTCACTCCGGTGACTCTATTCACGGTCGTGGCTGTGGCCGTGAACTGCTTGGTAATTATTTTATTGAATCATTATTTTGGGAATTCGTCCCTAATTTTCATAGTTGCCATCACGCCCGTGAGGCGGGCCATGAGAAGGACGAGATGACCCTCCAAAATCAGTCACATGTGTATTATGTGTAAGGGGAAGAACTTGTGTGTGAATCTGCGCATAATGTTCAATCTCAATAATGCCACACACCTAAAGTAACTTCGAAGTCGTCATACTTTGAATTGCCAGTCTCTACGTTAATACGTGATCTAAGGGAGGCTAGTGTAGAGGGCTATAAAGAATGTCATGTCATAAAACTTGGATCTACATTTAGAAAAACGTACTAATTGGTACTTCATCCTACCATTCCTTTTAGTTCTCGAACTCCTCCACATAGGAAGGAGTCTTTTGCGCTTAAAGTAAAAATGGGGTCGATATATAGGATTGTACAACCGATATCCTACCATGTACAGTCTACATCGACAGATAATGCCGCCGCAAATAAAGTATGGGGTAAATATCCAAGTGTGAGGCATCATATCCTTGGAAAATTTTGGGTTTTGGAAGAGATACTAGTTGAGTCTTGGTGGGACATCCCTACGAGATAATGCTAGTTCATCTCTAGTACAAGTAAAATTTACACCCATATGATAGGATTGCGAACTTGAGGATGTGTTTTCGAGGGCATGGATAAAGCTTCCGACACCCCTTGACTTAATTGACCCTCCGCACGATTGAGGAAAAGGAGCAAGTGCTCTTGCTTGATCAGGCTCGCTAAGTACCAAAGTACAAGGCACAAACCCCCTTCTGCTTATAAAGTGGCACAAAAAGTGCAATGTGGCACGACAAGATCGTTTTAGTGCGAAAACGTCCAAAAAGACTTACGTGGGCAGGAATGCACATACTTCCTTATCAAACTACATAGGCTTTGCTTAATATTCATAAACGAAGACTCGAGGAAGAAAAAGAGAACTCCATCTCTTGAGAAGCAAAGTATTTCCTTCTTACAAAGTATGTTTGAGCATTATTGCCATGATCAAAGGTTTCTAAGTGCAAGGGTTGACCTAGTAAGTTTCTTATGATCCACTACCTAAGATCAAAAGTCATGTGTCATTGTGAGAATCTAGTAAGGAGACTGATGTCGAGCTTAGATTTGCTTGAGGACAAGCAAAGTTCAAGTGTGTGGTTATTTGATGACACGTGAAAATGTCTATTCTAATTTCTAGCCCTCCATATTATGACCAAAAGTGCGTACATTTCCCATCATTATCGTCATAATACATTAAATTATTGTTGTGATTGTTTCAAGTGCATTATGGCAACCCTATGATTGCTTTTATACATTTGATACGCTTTTGGCTAGTGTTTTGTGCATTTTAGGGTCGAGCAGCCTAGTGGGCCACTTGGATCAATCCCAAGTTGTTGGAGTATGATTATGAATATTGGACGTCAATGAAGAAAGTTGGCCACGATCCCTTTTTGCTGGAGCCAACCACTTTGTCAAAAAGTTGTCTATAAGCAGCCTGATTCGCTGTTCATGTGTTTGGAGGCTTCTTATTGGTTGAATGAAGCAGTATGGGTGGTTTTCTCTCATTGTATAGCCTAATGGAAATCTATAAATAGGGCTCCAGAGCTAGATTTAAAGGGGAGAGAGAGGTCAAGGAAATTTTGTTACTCTTCTGACAGAGCAACCCTTCTGAGTTTTGACTTATAACAATGCCACCTTCGAGGGAGAACCAGAGGTGAAAAAGGCACCACTGGGTCCATTTTCTCTGTTATGGACGCCGATTCTTGTGGTCTCCTGGACTCTTCATTTTCATCGATGAATGCCCAGGACACCCTCCCCATGGTTGGCTAAGTTTCTTAGTTGCATAGGTACTTGAACCCTAAGGGTTCTAGCCATGTAAACTAAATGACTTGGTTAATACAATTGTTTGATTTCCATATATAAGATGCTTGATTTTCTCTATTTTGTTGTTGATTCGAATGAATGCTTAGTCGACCTTGTACTCCCTCAAGGTACATGGATAGAAATCCTAGTCGTTTAGGATGGAGGAATAGCAGTCATACTCGATTGAACCTAGGGGTGGCTATACGGTCCAGTCCAGTTAAATTGGCCTGAATTGATTCGGTCCTGGTCTGATCTTTTTGAGAATATAAGGACCAAAGATTGGATTGTATACATTCCGGTCTTGAACCGATCTGGTCCCAATTCGGTCTGGATTTTAGATTGAGCTTGTGGAGATTTGAGTGGCCTAAGGCCTGAAAGGGTGAGGAGTAGGTTAAATTTTGGGTGTTGGGCTCTCTTATCCCGTCTTTATCGAGTTTTTGGTGTGGTCTCGAACGGTTTTTTACCTCAAATCTAAGCCCGAAGGTGGGATTGGATTGTTTGCTATCCGGTCTCGGTCCGGGTTATACGATCTGGTTTCGGGTAAAACCAAAATCCTGGACCAAATATCCAGCCCTAATTGAACCTCATTCAGTCAAATGGTATATCCCCTCAAAGAAGGATTTTGAAGGGACCTTGTCGGCTATTAGTTCAGGTAAATGTTTCGACACAATGTGGGATCTAACGAAATAAGAAATTGGCAGCTCGTATGCTCTGATCATCAAGGGCGTGTGGTTAAGAAACCCAGAAGGAATGATGCCTATAAAACGCCTTCCTTTCATACTCTATTACTCAACCCGCTAAACCAATCTCTTCTTCAATAGAATCGTACCTCGCTTCCGAAGTAAGGGTTCTGTCAGAGGCCCGAGGAAATACAATCATGGCCTTAGGGCCACGTAACATTGGTCTACACTACACGGAGGACCAACAGGTCGTTATTAATAATGCAGGTGTCTCAATGAATTATAGTGGTGGAGCAATCTATGAGGATATCTGTGTGTTGCTAGTTCATTTTAACGTTGGAATTTTGGTATGTTGGTAGGCAAAACAATAGGGCAGTCCATCTAGTGGCTAAAAATTCACTTTCTATACGCTATGTTGGGTATGAACAGGGGCGGTCATGAGGGTGTACCGGGAGGCCCTCCAACACAGGGGCTCCGAATATTAAGGGGCCTCCCCTTAATTTTATTAAGGAGCCTCCACTTAATCAATATCGGTGTTAGTTATTGGTCAATATTCTCATGTATACTTATATAGATTATAGAAGACACGTATAATGATTGTTAAAGTCGTATTTGGGAGCCGAAAGTCCTATTTGTTTAGAAAATAACACAAGAAAGCATTAATGGATTAGTTAGTTATGGCAACGAATGAAAATTATCTCGTGGAGACTACACGAATTATATAGCTAATAGATAATTTTAGGGTTAATTGCAAGTTTGGTCACTATATTTACTAAAAAGGTTCATGTTTGGTCACTAAAAATATTTAATTTCATTCATGGTCACTAAAATTATTTTTACCATCCAAGTTTGGTCACTGACCGTTCAAATCCGTTAAATTTATCTTATGTGCGGTCAACTCTTATAGTTGACCGTTAAATATATGACGTGTTAATTAAAAAATAATAAACAAATAATATTTTATCTCCTAAAATTTCCACATCACTATCAGAAGCTTCAAAAAAATATCAAAACCAGGGAGGCAGGTGAGATGAGTAGGAGCCCTTCTTTGATCAAATTAAAACCTCACGGCAGCGGCAACGACACTCAAACCCTGCTCGAAATCAAATGGCGAGATGACACATCCATGAGTAAATGATTCGTCCCTTGCAATACAAGTCCACAAGTGGATCTCCAACAACCTCAAGCCCCCAACTTCCAATGAGTCTTTCCTAATACCAATCACCAAATAGTAACAGCGACGCCCTCATTTTCCCAGTTAACAATTCAGAGCGATGAAAAAGAATCACTTCCTCTTGTTGCTCTATTCTGGAATGGAGCTCTCTGGTAGTGAAAAGTGAATACGACCGGCGAAAACGTGACCGTGACGAGAGATGAGGGGGATCTATGTGTGTTTCATGGGTTTTGGATCTGGAAATTGTGGGTGGCTAAGGGCTAGGTTGCGAAATGGGAAAGTATCTCTTGTTGCCGGCTGCCGACGAATCTTCAAGGAGGATGCTGAGAAAGACAGCGACTGGCGGCGGATGATTTCTGCTAGGTTTTTTGGTAGGAACGTTGACGATGGTGGTGACGAATTGGGTCTATCTGTTCAGCTGATGGGATCCCGCCGCAAACCTCTTGCCTTCTTCCTCTTCGCACCAACAAACCTCCAAATCCTTCTCGCCGCCGCTTCATACCTAGGGCACCGTGGATTCTGATTCGTGACCTTCAGGGACCAGTGTCATGACCTTACTATCGATCGTGCGGCCCTAGCTCTCAATTCCGTTAGAGCGCTAGACAGCCTTCTCTCAAACTCACAAGCAAGCAAAGAACAAGAAAGCAAAGACAAAGGATTGGGAGAACTCTCTAGTGTGCATTACTCACAAAAATGATGGAATGAGTTACAAGTGAGGGAGATGGCTCCTTATATAGGCCTCTCCACATACAAGGCATCAATGCCCCTCATAATTTCCCTCTACTACATCAATACACCCCATTAAGTCCCCCCATTATGCACTCTATAAATGTCACCCATTATGTGACTCATAAGTGCACCATTAAGCTCTACATTATGGTGGAGAATCCTAGGAGCATCTCTATGCTACTAGTCTTCCATGCATGCCACATGTGCAACCGCCATGTTGTCACCTTGTTGGCGCCATATCATCTGTCACATGTGATATCCTCCCCACCTATGCTCGCGACGCCCTCGTCGCGTCCTCTTGATGGAATGCCTCGATCAAGTCCTTGTTCTTCCAAAGTGTGAGCTCTTTCTCCCAAGTTGCTTCACTCTCCGGAAGTTTGCGCCACTTGACTAAGTACTCCACAAAGCTTGGATGTACGCCACGACGAGAAATGACACGACGCGCCATGATTTCTTCGACTTCATGGTCGTGTGTCTTGGTGATGAGTGTTGGAGCACGCTACGACTCCCTTCGCTGCTCGTCCTCCTTGTCTTCGTGGTAAGGCTTGAGTTGGCTCACATGAAAGACCGGATGGATCTCCAAGTGCGTCGGCAACTCCACCTTGTATACCACCTTGCCAATCCTCTTCACGATGGGGAATGTCCCTTCGTAGCGGCGAAGCAGTCCCTTGTGCACGTTCTTGAGATGCTTGAAGCGATGAGGGTAGAACTTGACCATCACCATGTCTCCCTCTTCGAACTCCAAGTACCGCCTCTTCTTGTCCGCCCATTTCTTCATCTTCTTGCTAGCGCGGGCTAAGTAAGACTTGGCCATCTCCATCTTCTCGTGCCAGCCTTAAGCAAACTTGTAGGCTGCCGGACTGTTGCCTCTATACCCCGTTGCCACCGTCGTAGGTGTCAAAGGTTGCTGCCCCGGCGCCAACTCAAATGGACTCGTGTTGGTCGACTCGCTGCAGTGCAAGTTGTAGGAGAACTGTGCCGTGTCCATCAACTTCACCCAATCTCGTTGGTTTGCACTCACGTAGTGACGCAAGTACACCTCCAACAAGGCATTCACCCGCTCCGTCTGTCCGTCGCTTTGAGGATGAAATGCCGTCGAGAAGTTCAAGTTTGAGCCCATGATCTTGAACAACTCTCGCCAAAATCTGCCCGTGAAGCGCCCATCTCTGTCGCTCACAATGTTGCTAGGAACGCCCCAATACTTGACCATGTTCTTGAAGAATAGACGTGCCGCATCCTCTGCCGTCAAGTCTTTTGGCCCAGGAATGAACACTCCATACTTCGAAAACCTGTCCACCACAACCATGATGCAACCACATCCATCGACTTTGGGAAGTCCGATGATGAAGTCCATGCTTACGCTCTCCCATGGTCGTTGAGGCGTGGGCAAGGGCTCTAGCAAGCCTGTCGGGTTTCTCTGCTCCATCTTGTCTTGTTGGCACACAAGACAAGTCTTCACATACATCTCCACGTCATCTCTCATACGTGGCCAGAAGTATGCTTCTTCGATGAGCACTTACGTTCTCTCGATGCCGGGATGGCCCGCCCACTTGGAATCATGGCACTCCTTCATGATCTCCTTCCTCAAGTTGGCCCATCTTGGCACGAACACTCGCTCTCCCTTGGTCATGATGAGCCCATCCTTCATCCAGAACCGCCGAGTTTTACCTTGCTCGATGTACTCCGCTACGGTTTTGGAGAAGGGGTCATGGCCAAGGCCTTCAACGATCCGCTCCTTCAAAGGAAACGTGGGCTGGTTGATGCTTGCGGCTGCACTCTTGCGGCTAAGAGCATCTGCAACGGAATTCTCCTTGCCTGGATTGTATTCCATGACGAAGTCGAACTCGGCCAAAAAGTCTTGCCACCTCGCTTGCTTAGGGGTGAGCTTCTTCTGCGTAAGAAAGTAGCTCGTTGCCACGTTGTCCGTCTTCACTACGAACTTTGACCCCAACAAGTAGTGCCTCCATGTGCGCAAGCAATGTACCATAGCCGTCATCTCCTTCTCTTGAACGGTCTACCGCCTCTCCGTCTCGCTAAGCTTCCGACTCTCGAAGGCAATGGGATTCCCATCTTGCATCAACACGCCTCCAATTGCGAAGTCGGATGCATCGGTCTGCACTTCGTAGGTCAACGTCGGGTTGGGGAGCACGAGCACGGGCTCCTTCATCACCGCTGCCTTCAAGGCCTCGAATGCTTCTTGGCACCTTTCCGACCAATCCCACGCCTTGTTCTTCTTCAAGAGATCCGTCAAGGGTGCTGCAATGTTGGAGTAGCCCTTGATAAACCTCCGATAGTAGTTGGCAAGGCCGAGGAATGACCGCAACTCTGGCACCTTCGTCGGCGGCTCCCATTCTTAGATTGCCTTCACCTTCGCCCCATCCATCTTCAACTTGCCTCCACCAATGACGTGCCCCAAGAATGGAACCTCCATGGCGGCAAATGTGCACTTCTCCCTCTTGACGTACAACTCGTTGTCGCGAAGGACTTGGAAGACTTGGCGTAGATGCTCGGCATGCTCATCGAGTGTTTTGCTATACAAGACGATGTCATCCAAGTAGACCACGACAAACCGGTCCAAGAATGGCTCGAACACTTGATTCATCAAAGTGCAAAACGTGGCTGGTGCGTTGGTGAGACCGAATGGCATCACAAGAAACTCGTAAGAGCCATACCTCGTCACACAAGCCATCTTTGGCTCGTCGCCCTCTGCTATCCGCACTTGATAGTAGCCCGAGCGAAGATCAAGCTTGGTGAGCCACATCGCATCTCCAAGCTGGTCGAATAAATCAACAATGTTGGGAATCGGCCACTTGTTCTTCACCGTCAACTTGTTGATGGCTCTATAGTCGATGCACATCCGCAACGATCCTTCCTTCTTCTTTTGGAACAGCACCGGTGCTCCAAAAGGTGACTTCGATGGCCGCATGTAGCCTGCGTCCACCAAGTCCTTGAGCTGCCTCCGCAATTCTTCTAACTCCGGTGGCGACATGCGGTATGGTGCTCGCGAAGGGGGCTTCGCTCCTGGCTCCAACTCGATCTTGTGGTCCACCTCTCTTCTTGGTGGCAGCTTCTTGGGCAATTCCGAAGGCATCACGTCATCGAACTCTTCGAGGACGCCTTCGATGATGGGAGTTGTGATTCTCGTTGAGCCTCCTTCTTCCTCCATTTTCAAGGACACAAGAAAGGTTGGTTCATTCTTCTTGAACCCCTTCACTACCTGCATAGCGGATAGAGCACTATGGGGGCCATCTTCTCTCAAGAGATGGACCGCATGGAACTCCCCTTCCTTCTCCAAGCACATCGTGTTGGAGTTGGGCTTCAAGAGCACTCCCTCCTTGTCGAGGAAGTTGATGCCGAGGATGACTGGGTGATCGTCCATGGTGACAACGGAAAAGTCGATGAGGCCTTCCCACAAGCTTCATTGGTACGTTGTGAGCAACTCCATGGATTGGGATGGACTCTGAGTTGATTGTCTTGAGCCTCCCTTGCCCCTTCTCATAGGCAATACCCAGCCGGTTTGCCTCCTCGACGCGAAGAAAGTTGTCCGTGGCACCGGTATCCACCAAGGCTTTTGACTCGCCTTGCATGAATTGCGCCAGAACATAGCACCTCCCACGCTTGCTCTCCTTGACGTCGGTCTTCACCGCGCCAAGCTTGCGGATTGAGCCAATCTTGGCCTCCGCCGCCAATCTCGCCTTCCTTAGGCACTCTCGCACTCGATGTGGTCCGTCGCAAAGGAAACAAGAAATGAGTTTTGGCTCGTACTTACCCCCTTTGCTCGAACCACCTTGGTGTTGTTGAGTGCGAGAACCCTCCTTGAAAGGCTTCTGCTGTTCTCCACCCTTGTTGGGCTTCGAACTCTTCTCTTTGCCGCTGCTCTCTTGCCTTTTGTACTCGACAAAAGACTCCTCCGTGGCCATGGCAGTTGCAAGGTCGTGCACTCCTCGATATTGCATCTCCATCTTGGCCCATGGTTGCAGCCCATCAAGAAAGCCGTGCATGGCCTCCTTGTCCGTGATGTCCGGGATCTCTAGAAGCAGCTCCGAGAATTCTTTCACATATTCTCGAACTCCACCCCTCTGGGTGAGTCTTCTCAACTTCGAACGGGCTTCAAACTCCACGTTCTCTGGGTAGAACTGCTTCTTGATTTCTCTCTTGAAATCTTCCCACGTTACCATCACACAAGTACCTCTTTCGACGTCCGCTTCATGTTGCCTCCACCACACCATTGCAACATCAACCAAGTATAGTGGAGCAGTACGGAGTTTTACCTCATCCTCTTGGATGCCGGACGCCTTGAAGTACTGCTCAAGACTCCAAAGAAAGTTCTCTAGCTCCCTTGCGTTCCTTGAACCTCCGAAGCTCTTCGGTCTTGGAACATCAGCACGTGGGACGGATTGCACCGGGGCTGGTCTGCTAGCCATGGCTCTCTTCACGAGAGTGACCTCACTCTTGAGGTCTGCAATCTCCTCCTTCACGCCGACCAGCTCAGCCTGGACATGCTCTTTCACAACTGCAATGGCGGTGCTCAGGTTTCAGAGATGGTGTTGGTGATGAGAGCCACGAGCTCTTCTCGCATCCCATCATGGTTGATCTCCAAGCTCGACAAACGAGCATTCATACCTTGAAAATTGCTTTCAACTTGGGCGAAGTTAGCTCCCAAATCCTCGATGGCGGTGACATCTTCGGAAAGCTTCACCTCCATCCTCGAGACTCGCCTCTCTAGAGACTTGAGAGGATCACGAGTGCTCGACTTGTCTTTTGGCCTCCCGCCTGGGGTAGGCTCTCTGCCAC